TTAAATCTATTCGAAGTAGATTTGTTTCGCATTTGCTAACACGAGGGACGCTAAACGGATGGCATTTACTGCATCCGCCACCAGGGGGCGAGGGAGACATGACGGCGAATGGAGGCGTAAAAGTGACCGAACTAAGCGAACCTCGTTATGTTGCTGTCTCTCAATGAACTTCACGTGTTGTACGACCTTTCTACCCATGTTTGGCTGGAAAAAAACAACAAATGCTTTTTAATTCCTGTGTTTTATTTGCCTTGACTTGTTTTTCTCAGACATGCTGCTGGACCTGAGTGACCTTCTGCAGGTACGTTTCTACTGTCGATTATATCTGCTGATTGTTTTCCTAATTAATCAGTGAATTGTTTACAAAGAAACGTCCACTGTAGACTAACAATTTAAGCCATAAAGTGTTTCTTAAACTGACTTAAATCAATTATTTGATATATTAACTGATTCAAAAACTGAAATACCAGTAAAAATATATCCAAATATGATTTTTAAAATCTGATTTAAACAGTAAAACTGTAATTTTGTGGTCACACATTGTAAAGCACAAATTACTATTTGTAAAAATACAGATTTTTGACATTGTTTACAGCTTTTGGCCCGTTTTGTTTTGGTGCCTATTTTTTTTGTCACAGTCAATGTTTAGATTAATACCTGTTTTTTTCTGTGATTTTATTTGGTGTAGTCTATAACTGAACTAAACAAGGAAAATCTGTAAAATTGCAGTTAAAACATGATTTACCATTTTTCAATCCTTTGATATACGTGTTTTCTTTCAAATAACGACAAATATCTGTAAAAATATTCAAATACAGCAAAGAAAAGATGTAATTTTACAGTCAAACATTGCGATGCTATTTATAAAAATGCAGGCTGTTGATGTGATATTGTGATAAAGAAGCAGTTGCCAGACACTGGCGTGCTGATAGAGTTCCAGATATCAAATGAAGTCTCACCTCGCGAATATCGGAATTGCGCAGCAGCAGCAGCGGGGGGGTTAAGAATGGCTGAACTGTTATACGCAGATGATGCGGTGATTTACTTTAATAGTATCGAAGAGTTCAGTCAAATCCTCGCTATACATGACGACGCCTTCTCAAGATCCGGGTTGCAAATGTCATATTCTGAAACAGAGACCATGGCACTCAAGCTCTCTGTAAATAACACCAGCATTAAAAATGTCAGAATTTCGTTACTTGGACCGTCTGATTACAAACACAAACGTCGGCTGCCGCTCTACACTCGAGAATTGCTTCTGCGTTTTAAAAAATGGGCTGAATTGAAACACTGTCTGACCGATAAAGAAATCTATCTGGGTACACGTACAAAGATCCTAACTGCGTGCGTGAGATCGCGTTTACTATATGGAACCCAGACTCACGAGTTGTCAGCAGCCGACCTCCAAAAGATGGAGAATGTGTGGGATGGCTTCCTGAGAAAGATGGTGACCGGGGGGGATACGTCAGGAAAAACGCTCCCAGTAAAAGAAAGGCGTAGATCTAGCTTCACAAGTCGAAGGGGAGCTCAGTTGGGCTTACAAGATATCGAACGAGAAACTGTGGGATACCACCAGCACCGGTCATATAAGGGATGTTAGCCATGCACAATACTTGAAATATATGTCCCATGTGTGTCGCATGGAGAACAATGCCTTGCAAAAGCAGGTATTGTTTGACAGGCGAACACCCAATAGGACTTGGGCAAATGTTGAAAAGTTACTGGCACAGGCAAGGAGGACAATGCTGGATGGCTCGGACTTTAACCGGCTGTTGGACACACGCTTTAGTCCGCAGTCAGAGAGCAGGCCGTTTGGAAAACCTGATGATGACGATGTGCACTGTATTTACAGTTCAACCTGTTTAATGATTAACATGTAAATGCTGTTATTTTTCCCCTGTGATTTTAATAGTTTTGTCCTTGTAATTTAACCAAACGGAAAATCTGTAAATGACAGAAAAATAGTTTTAAAGTTTTTAAAAAATGTTTTCATACTGGCGTCCTCTCTGCTCGTCATCTATGTCGTAAAACAAATCGTACAAAAAGAACAGGTGTTACCAACACTGGAAAATATACACGGAGGCTCTACGTATCACAGATAATCTACTATTTACATTTTTTTATTTGTTTCTATGCTTGTTTCCCGTCTGCTTTGCATAAACGCAGCCTGCAGTTCAGCCGAAATCTCTCAGGTTTTTTAAGATCATGTGACTGTAGGTCGCAGCTGAGTCCGTCGTGGCTTCACGGCGACGGCAAAGAGCAGCAACTTTACTGTTTTCATGGAATCTGGAGTTTATTTTTGGCAGGTTTTTAAATGAGACATGCAGGGTAAAATGACGACACGTGGCTCAGTTTTCCAACAGAACATCAGTTTTTACAGTTTTTAGCTGATTAATGGAGTATTTCTTAGTATTTTTTAACATACTTTCCCACCCTGCTGGTGGGTTCTGGGGCTCAGCGGGTTTAAGCAAACTTTTTTATTTTAGTGTTTTTAAGCCCACTCTTTACCTCCAGCGGGGCGTCCCTGTTGCCTGACCGCCCTCCTCACATCCAGACTTTCGCCCGTGTAATTAAACCTGAGTCGTGCGTGTACAAATTTAGAAACCCCTCCATTTGTCTGCATATTTAATGGCAGCCGATTGGCGGTGAGTCAGGGGTGTGGTGCTGCCGGGACATTTCTCAGAGTCACAGCTGGTCTGGGGGCTTTTTATTTTTATGCTCCCAGCTGTCCTGGAGGAGCCGCCGCCCCTCCTCCACCACCGTGCACGCCCTGGCATTCAGGCCCACGAGTGGATTTGAAGTGGATTTTGGGTGGGTGGGGTCGGGGGGTTATTAATGCCGAGCGTTTCTGTGGGCTGGTTATACTCCACCAATCACTCCCGCATGGATCCACACCCAGAACACTTCACGCATTGTTTGGATGAGTGGTCGGCCTGTTGTCGCAAAGCTGCTCCGCTAAAGAGGATCAATACTGACTTTAAACATCAGCTGCTGTCTGTGGTTTTATCTCTGATGTGATCAGAGTTGAGCTCTGTTCATTTAGTGGCTCCAGAGTTAGTTTTTTTTCTCCAACATTAGATGAATTTCTGTGCACACATGCAGAGTTTCGTTATGAATCCGTGAACACCGCCTGCAGTTCAGCCGAAAACTCTCTGAAGTTTTGTCACGTGACCGTCGGTCGCAGCTGAGTCGCTCGTGGCTTCACGGTGGCGACAAGGAGAGCAGAAGTTTATGGTTTTTTTTTTGCAGGACTCTGTTAGAGGTAGAAATCAGAAAAAAAAACTAAAGTTGAATTTCTTTTATTTATTTTACAAAAATTGAAGAAGAGAAACAAACCTGGAACATTTTCTGATGCGTCCACAGGTGTGACCAACAAGAGAAACCGTAACACGACACACTGTGGATGTTAAACCGCTCAGAGCTTTAATTCGTCTTCGTCCTCTCTGCTCTGTGCCAAACGCTGCCTGCAGTTCAACCAAAAACCACACGGATTGTGTTTGTCGATCGCAGCTGAGTCAGTCGTAACTTTGTCAGTTGTCCTGAGTCAGAATCGAGCTGGTGGAAATGAGATGGAGATGTAATTTTTAAAAAACAAATAAAACTTTCCCAGACAAATTCGAGCCAAAATAATAAAAAAACAAAAAACAGGTGTAGAAGTCTGACTGAGAGTTACAGGAAACGCCTGATGGCAGCGATTGGCTCAAAGGGTTGTTCAACTAAATAGTAGTTCATGGGTCCCATCAGGCTGGTTTGCTTGTTTTTTTTCTAAACTTTTAAAAATGTTTCTGTTTAACCAGAATTCAAAAGCAATGTCATGGTTTTCATTAAATATTTATTTATTACGACTTTTGTCAATTTCAGCTTATTCCAGTGACTGAAGCTGTTTGTTTTCCTTCTTTAATGGGAGGGTTTGTACACATTTGAGGGCGACTGTAGGTTGGTTTTCACATCCAAACTCGCCGGCATCTTGAAGCTCACTTATTGGAATATCCCGGATGTCGTCATAATTCCATCCTGGACCGAGGCTGTGACAGTAAATGTGCAGCACTGACTGTATTTGGTGGTTTTTAAATAAAGATATTGTGCCTTTAGGAGAGTTGAAACAGCTAAACGATTATTTCAGTGTCAAGAATCCGTTTTAAATTAAAACCCTCGATCTGCGTCCAGCTGTCGAGCTGTGAAGTATCGAGTGACCTCGCTGCATTTCTTTCTATTTTTTTTTTTATGTCGTGTGTTTTGAGTCGACCCGGAAAGCTCCACTTAGCGCCGCGGCGGGCGGAGGATTATGTTCTCCTCGGGTTCTCGGGTTTAACCACAAGCTCCTCCGACGCCGACGCTTCAAGGCGGCGTGATTGATTTCAGAAAGCTCAGTTTACACGTAAATCGGGTTTAAACATAGAAACAAACAACTGAGGAATGTTGGCGGTTTTGAAGCTTGTTTTCGGAACATGTCTGCATCACATGGAAGGTGTAAAGTTAAATCACTTCAAAACCGTCCAACGTGAGGAGAAACACCCAGATGAGTGTGGAAGCGTTCATCTGACCCGATTAACTGAGAATTAATCAGTAATTAAAAACAAAACATCAGGGCTTTCATGAGCACAGCTAATCAATTCATCATTTAAGTCAGTTTTAGTTCAACATTTTAAGGCTACGCTAAGTTTAATTATCATTCTTATATTTACCAGTAATAAACTATTACTACAAAAAAAGTCCAAATATGTTGAGTTCTTTGGGACAACTGTGAAGCCGGAAGTGACCTATAAAATAAATCAACACTTTTTGGCTGAACTGCAGTCAGCGAATACTCAGAGAGGAGACGGGTAAAATGTAAATGGTAGAGTACAGTGGTGACCCGATAATCCGACACTCAATGTAAAAGCTTCTTCTATGTCGGATATCAAGGCTGTCGGATTGTCAAGACGGAGGTCGAGATACAAGGAGGGCTTGATGCTTGAAGGATGATTGGTTGTTAATTATTGTTCATAGTTGTTATAATATTTGTATGTAGTTCTTCCCTCAGGCTGCTTATTATTGCTTGAAACGTGGACCGTCACGTCTCCAGATCCAGACGTTCTCTTGTGAATCATTTTAGATCTTGGAGCTGTTTGGGAAGACCTCTGTAGGCAGCCACTTTTCTCCTTCACTTATCTGCAGTCGTGAGTTTCTTGAGCCCGACGTTTGTGAGCTGTAATCACAGTTTTTTTTTTTAAACCACTTGTTCCACTTCCTCCTCCTCCTCCTCCTGCTCCACCACATTTCTGCTTTTGTGTATAAATTCCTCGCTAGAATCCACTTTCCTGAAATAGCGGAGGAGCATCTGCCCGACTCCAGTGGGCCTCGAGAGGGAGAGTCCGTCCGTCTGCTCCCCCCCCTCCAGCCCGGAGGTCTGGAGAGAGTCGGCCTGAAGGAATCTGACCCGAGTTCACGACCCGATCCAGCAGCTTTCACTGCCGTCTGCTCTGGAGCTCCGCCGTTAACCTGCGACCGCGATGATGATAGATGCGCGGCCCCGAGGCTTTGTCCCTCGCCGGTGCCCGTCATCAGGTCCTTTCACATGCAGCGGGGGCGGGTCGCAGAGCCTTCTGGAGGTGTCGTGGGCTCCAGCACAATGAAGCATCTGTGAGGGGAGGGTCCAGTGTGATAACCCCGGTGACACACTTTACCCCCAGAAACCCCCCAAACACCCGGCTGCTGCTTCATCCGACTGGGCTTCTAGTATCCAAGCGACATTATTTTATAGTTTTGTCATCATGTAAATTAAAACTAGTTTTGTTTTCTGTGATTTAAATAGACATTTGTATTTAACAAAACAGCAAAAATCTGTACAATAACTGGTAAAAAAAAAAAAAAAAACACTTCACATGAATATTTTTAAGAAATTATGTCAAATATCTGTAAAAAAAAAAAAAAAAAAAAAAGCTATTTTTTTCTGATTTAAATACAGCAGAAAAATATATTTGAAGATCAATGAAATAAATGCAGAACGGTTTAAAAATGAACAAGTTGTTGAAGGATACATCCAACATGGTGAAACATCTTCCTACAGCTGATGAGCAGAGACTCAAAACTGGACTAAAGCTTTCTCCAAAAGGACTCGGTGTCATTTTGAACTCGTTTTAAGGCATTCTACACAATCTTTGGGTCACTTGCAGACGACACATTGAGCACGGTGAAACGTCTTTCTATCTTTGAGCAGAGTAACGTGAAACACGTTCTAACAGGTTGTAGAAATGCAAGCAGTAAAATATCTGACACATGTGGAGCCACCATTTCTTTTTCCAGTATTGTTAACACCTCGGAAAAACTTTGTTGATTTTGGAACTTCTCGGCTGAACTGTTCACGCAGAGCAGATAGGAGGCAAGTAGCAGTAAAATATCTTCAGTGTGTAGATGTTTTATTCTCCAGGAAATATCTTGCACATGTTGACTCCACATTTTTCTCAATTTTTAATAATATATAACCAACTTTCATTTCTTTCTTCCTTTTTAAAAATAAGAGAGACTTTTGGCATTACAGCTGTGCTAAAATGCACAGTCGGTATATCGGAGTTCTCTCTACGTGTAGTCGTGGTTGTTCTGTTTCCATAGAGGTACAGGACTTGAAAAATGAGTCAGCAGTGAGTAAAAACATGCCAAGAAGCTGTCTGGAGTGTTTGTTCCTGATGCTCCGATATCAAAAACACGAGCAGATATGGAAGCCGCAATCTCAGCCTCGTGTCAGGACAAGTTCTGGGATAATTAACTTCACCTTAAACGCAAATAGCTTGTTCCGTTTAGCTGCTTTTCCCTCCAAACCGCCCCCGTTATCATTGTGCCGATGTGTTGGGAACAATTGCCAGCGCGGTTATCTGCAAAGGTCACCCCTGTAACGATAAAAATAAACCTCCGTTTAGATACGGGGAGGTCGCAGGAGTCACCTCGACGAGACGACGTGCAGAAAAGACACCGAAAATAACCACGAACTGAGTCGACAGGCGGAGGTCAGATCTCCGGTTTGGACAAATCGATCAGCGGCTTCGGATATTTTGATTAGAAATTAATGGACGGAGCTGTGACTCGGAGGGAAACCCTTCAAATCCCTTCGAACGGCAGCCGAGCTCAGCTTTTAATCACTCATATTGGAGGGAAATGTTCCGCGACCTTCGGGGGTCAATTATGTAACCAGAACACTTAACCTGGCGGTGACGCAACAGCCTCGTTTGGCATCCAGACAGTCTGCTGCGACTCTACAAGTGGACAGAATCGCACAAGTCCGGTTAAATTAAACCTAACCGGAAGCTGGAGGGCTCACTTTAACTCATTGTCTTTTTACCTCTTCCGCAGGTGAACGTCTACGTCTTGGGAAAAACGTTCCTCGTGCTGGCCAGAGAACTTTGCATCAACGCTCCGGCTATAGGTACCCAACTCCACTCTGCTCTGTTTTTCATTCAGTCAGGCTCTTCAAGGGTTCGTTTTTCATATGTCGATAAATTACAACAACACAACTGTAACGACGTGTTTAAACCCTCTGAACCTCGAACGTGTTTCCTTCTAAAAAATACAGTCGTGACTCGATAATCCGACACTAAATGTAAAACCTTCTTTTATGTCGGATTGTCAAGACGGAGGTCGAGATACAAGGAGGGCTTGATGCCGGAAGGCTCATTTGTTGTTAATATTTATTGTTCATAGTTGTTATAATAACTGGTGTGTTGTTGGAACACTACGCACCGCTGGATTTCACGCCTAACTGACCAGTCGGTACATCAAAGGTAAGTACATCCGTGGGATTGTTCAGTCAGATAATACGCTGTTATCCTTATTTGTGACATAAAACGTCACATCAGAGTCGGAATCCAAGGCTGTCGGTGTGTTAAGGCTGTTTTTTTATGGGTTCTGTTTGTTTCCTGTCGGATAGCAAGGTTTGGATTGTTAAAGACTGTCAAGTCACGACTGTAGCATCGAAATGACATCGTTTATCAGAGCTACTAAAACGGAACATTTGTGTGATTTTCAGCTTTCTGATGTATCTCCACCATATCGTGGGCGACGTACGGGAAAAACAGGCCCGAAATACGCTTAAAATTTGTCATATTTTATCAAGATCAACTAATTCTACATGCAGCATTCAAAACATTTGCCCGAAGTTCTTTTTAAAAAAAACTTCTCGATGCCACCGAGACGCCAGGACTGACTCGAAAGTTCATGTGATTAAAACTTCTGAGACCATTGGGCTGAAGTGCAGGCAGTGTCAGAACCATTGTCAGGCACGTAAACTTCATTTAACCATAATATTTGGGGATATTTCTTCAAAATTACTTTGTTTTTTATGTTGTTCTTGTTTTTTTTCAAAAAAAGCCAGAAGAGACCAGATTCTGCATAAAACAAAACAAAAAAATTCTTCAGGTTGAGCTGCAGGCAGAGAGGAAAATCCATCCTACTGGATCAATAAATAAAGGCAGCATGGCTCAGAACCAGAGAACAGAGGAGCCAGTTGTTGGAGATACATCCAGCATGGTGGAACATCTTTCTACTTCTGATGAGCAGAGACTCAAAACTTGCCTCAAATTGTCCACAATGACTCGAATGTTATTTTAAATTCATTTTGGAGGAATTTTGGACAAGTTTTAAGTAATTTTGAACAGTTTTCCACTTATTTGGGATGTTTTTTTTGTGACTTTGGACCAATTTTGAGTAAATTTAGGCATCTGACTGCAAGTTATTCTTGACAATTTAAGAGTAAGAGGAAAATCTAACCTACTGGATCAATAAATAAATGCAGCATGGCTCAGACCCAGAGAACAGAGGAGCCAGTTGTTGGAGATACATCCAGCATGAAGGAACATTTTTCTACATCTGATGGTGGAACATCTTTCTACTGATGATGAGCAGAGTGATGTCCATTTTTTCCCCCAGTGTTGGTGACACCTGTGGCCTCTTGGTTTGATTTGTTTTATCGCATTATACCTGCATCATACTACACAGAAGAGTCCTTAATGGGTTTTCTGTTTCCATAAAGGTACAGGACTTCATAATGCCACGAAAAATGAACCACACACACACAAAAAAAAAAAACCCTGCTGGAGGTTTAGAGGGGATTTTGGCTATTTTGTCTGCGTATTGCTCGTCTTGTCCGACCGATAAAGACGTTTAGTTAAAATGATATAAAACAGGAGGAAATCCTGGTGGCCGCACAGCGTTCGTCATGTTTGCCGGGCGGACGGTTTAAAGGGCGGCTGCAGAGGTTTCATAACGCTGCGGGACTCGTGAGACGGATTAAAAAGGCGGGACGAAAACTGAAGCAGCACAAATGTTCTGACTCATCCTGCAGTGTGACTTGTGCAGCGTCTTGCAACGTTGAAGGCAAAACAAAGTGCTTGTAAAACTCCACACGTGCGGTTTTTACCAACTTTGCAAACTCCTCTGAAGTCTGAATTCTGCAGCTGCTTGGATCAACCAAACTGAAGTTAACAAGCTTTAAACGCTATGAAAGCATCCTGACTCTATTTGTAGTGCTTTAAACCTCTGCGCATTACTGTACATTTTTAAAGTCTTAACTTAGAGATTTCTGTGTTTTTACGTGGTCGATTTGGACCTCTGATCTCAGACCTGTTCTCGCCTGTTTGTCATTTTTGCGAGGCTCAACTCATCAAAATGACGTTTTGATCACAACGTTTACGATATCTTGTGCTGGGACGGTGGACATCATGACGCCTTCTTGCCACAGCAGATCCACGCAGACACTCCTTTCCACGGAAATGATGCAAAATACTGAAATAATACACTAAATTATTACAGGAAACCGCTGATGTACGGTCGACCTTCTTGAGGCAGAGCTTTGCATGTCAAATACATCTGAAATGCTGTGCTTTGTTGGTTTTAATTTGGATTTACTGGCTCCTAAACGTGCACAGTGCAGCTAAATCAGGAGAAAATTAGCAAAAATAAATATATCAAGCTCTGACTCAGCAGATATTTGACAGTCAGGATGAGAACCTTTAAGTGCTGTGACTTTCCAGCAAGAAATGCTACCTTGAACAAAGACCTCAGGACCCATTTAAACCTTCATCCCCTAAAGATTTGCCCGTCAGACCCCTTCATTAATCCATCCAAGGCTGCAGAAGCTGCATGTTTCCATAAACTCGGACTGCAGTTCCCACTGCTGTAACCAGAGGGCGCTGCAGCCCCTCTAATCCCGGCTCCCTCCCTCTCCCAGGCAACATAATGATGTGACATCTGCGGCTTCGATCACATTATAACCTTTATGTTTCATCGTCAGGTGTATAAGCATTCTTGTACAGAACACATCTGGTCTATAACAGCATCAAGCTGTTAACAGTTAAATTGTATTTTACAAAAGACACGTTTCTGAGGCCGTCCTCTGAAGTGCAAAACAACTCAACAAGATTTCTACTCTTTTTTTTTTTTGTTTGTTTTTTTTTGCATTTAGAATCATAACACTACATAAAGTTTGCTCCTCGTGTAATATTGCTGCTTTGGACTATAGTAACAACATTGTATATAGACTTGCAATTACACAATTTGAAGCAGTCCCTACTTGTTCCAGTTGTGGAGCTCAGCGTGATTACATAACCACAGATCACTGTATTAATGTTGTTTCTACAGCAGCCGCAGCCCTTGAACACAAGCGTCAGAGCAAATAACGTTAAATCAGCTTTTTTTAAATAAAAAAATAACATTAAATTAAATAAGATAAAACAACAGCTCCTTCGCTTTTTAAAATAGTCTCTCAAAGAACTAACCAGGCCATTTAGTGTGACATTACTCAAGTGTCTTTAATGCTACATTACGTTGAAGGCTGGGAGGCGACGTAAACATCCGTCCGGGGCAGCTCATGCGTAGAACACGAGCTCGGGGATCTGTCCTCCCTGTACTCCGGTACCGTTGGTGCTGTCCGAGGAGCACTGGAACTGAAACGTCACCTTCCCACACTGCACCTCCGTCATGCCCTCCTGGCCGAAGTAGCTCAGCTCGTTGCCATCCAGCACGGCGCTCACCGTGTAGAAGGCGTCCTGCTCCACCTGGACCGGATGCTCGAACCACACCGGAAACGTACTGCTCGACCCGTCCGACACAAACTTAGTGAGGTTCTGCGCCAGGATCGCCCCCTGTCTCTTCAGCTCAATTTTGACGCTGTACTCGGCCTTGCCGCCGCTTGACCCGTACAGTCCCAAACCGGCAATAAAGATCCTCTTGTCCACTGCGAACTGAATGCTGTCGCAGCGGCCGCGGTAGCGCCACTGGTTGCTCCGGTAGGCCGAGGACTGGAAGCGGTGGCACCGCTGAGGAGCCAAACCCTTCCTGGCCGTAAGAGGAAAGTCCAGTTTGGGCTTTTTAGCCGCCGTGTACCACAGGAACACATTGTGCGTCTCCTCCAGTGTCAGGATATCGGACTGTGCCGCCCCGTTAGCAAACTCCTCCAGGCTCATGGTGGGGATTCGCACCAAGAACAGCGCCTTGCCCAACACTTCTCTCTTGTTGCGGGTGGTCGGCCCTAATCCTTGTCTCTTGCACTCCGCCGTGGCCCAGTTCATGACCGCCTCGAACACCACCACCTCCTTGGTGTTGAGCGTCTCCCTGCGCAGGATGATGTCCAGCGTCTGCAGGTCGATCTCGCAGAAGCCCTCTGATCGCAGCGCGAGCTCGGCCTGGGCGTCGATCACCTCCCAGCAGCGCTGCGTCAGCTCAGGCTCCTCGAACAGGCGGCTCTGGGAAAGCAGCACGCAGGCGTTCTTGGCCTCCAGGCTGGTTTCCAGGAAGGTGACGCAAGCTTTGGCCAACGCCGGGACGATGTACTTCTTGGCAGCGTACAGGGTGGCCAGCACCGTGTCCGCCTCCAGGTCGATCTCATCGCTGTACATGTACCTGGAAGAAGGAAGAGAGCCTTAAATGAATAAACATTATACCTCCTGGCATTGATGTGAACACAGATCAACTACTTCTTTATTATAGCAGATAAAAAGACGCCGTATGAGCAACGTATGAGCTCCTCATTGCATCAAGAGTCCAGCAGAAAAGAAAAAAAAAATCATCTGTCTTCCCAGAGAGGATTATTTGGCTTTTTTCAAAAGGCCCAAAAGTCCACAACAGTTTTTCAAATAGACTAAATCAGAAGTTTGTGGTCGTCTTCTACTGCAAACATGAGAATATTGTCTTCATAGTAGACATGATGATTCCTACCTGGCGTAGCAGCTCTACGGACCTACGACAAAATACTAAAATAGATCAAATAAACAACAGACTTCTGTGTTTAAGTGGTCGACCTGAACGTCTAATCTCACACCAGCGTTTGAGCCGTTTAAAAAAAAAAAAACAACAATAAATGAGGTTAGAATCATGGAGTTTACAACATGATAACTTTTTCTCCCAACAGCAGATCCACAGAGACACTCCTCA